AAGGCTCATTCAACACCTGGCTCGTGAGTTTATGGTGAAGACAAAACGTAGAAAGGTATTAATATACTCAGTCATCCTCCTGCTATCCAAGTCTTAGTTTTCATAACTTGCACTTCTGATTTGAACACAAAAGAAATGTGGAAACATGAGACATGATTCTCTCCTAGTAATGTGCAAAAGTGTCTTTCGCCTAAGAAGCACAGCCATGCAACACAACACGGATGCGCCAATATATTGATTTTAAAAAAATGCAGGACAGGAAATGTTTGGAATGTGTTAAAATTGTATAATATGTCATATAGATAACACTAATTATATTAAAAATTGTATATTTCATACCTTAAATATCAAGATATCATTCACGAAACAATTATATTATAAAGAATGCAAACCAATTATATAATATTGCAATACACATGATGTATTTATCTTATAAATGTTGTAAATCATATTTAGAGTGCATGACTTGTGTTATGAAGAAATCAAAATATTGTTATTATTAAGGGATTCATCACGTAGGACGTGTTCGGAAAGTTCAAGAAGTGTTGCCAAAGTGTCTATGAAGTGTCAGATATTATGACACATTGAAGAAGTGTTTTACACATTTTTACGAGTGTCCAGACTTCCTCTGTAGAAGTATCTGTGCTTCTTGGTCTTTCGCAATATGCATCTTGAAAGATGCATGTAATTGTTAATGAATCTGGCATATAGATTTCATGAGTAATGTGCAAATGAAAGTGCATACATTTGACCCTCCTTAGACTTGTGGTGGGAGTCTCGTGCATTGGGACTGCCCTTGATGTGGAAACAAATAGATTTAAGACTGATGAGTTGTTTACATTGATCTTTGGCAGGGAATCAGCAAAGATGTGAGCATCAACAAGTTTTTCGATGAGGCCATGGTGGTAGAGCTATCTCAGCAGGCGACTGATCTTCATCCGCAAATGATTTAAATGGGAAGACTGTAGGCTCCAATGGAAAGAGATGTGTTTTTTTTAGTAGTCATTGGTGTACTCTTATTGAAGCTATGAATGCCTTCTTTTTAGTTTCTCCAACATGACAATTTCCTCACAAATTCCTATTACTAGAGAAAGGAAAAGCAGGGGAAAAAAGGTTAAGAACTTGTAGATGTTGAATTATGAAATGTTTTTTTATTTTTTTTTTATAGAAAATTATGCTATGGTTATCTGGTGTTTTGTTTGGGTTCTCTTGCAGCATTTTAGTGCAATATTGAAGGAATTTCCTGGCAGTGTTTTTCTGGATTAGCAAATTTTTGTTTGCCTCTCTCAAATGTTGAACAAAATTTAATTTAATTTATTTGACCCCGTTTTGAGTCGACTACTTTAGTTAGCTTTTTACGAAAACATGTGTAGAAGAATAAAAAGAGTAATGTGGCAATTTATAGTGATTTTTTAACTTTTTAGTTAAAAATCGTACTCCCCAAATGAGGCATGAGCATACGACAGAGTAAATTGACGAAAAAGGCTTTGTTTGTTTTCGAAGTTAGTCAAATATATTACACCCACCGTTCCAAAATAATAGTCCCTTTCGGGGAATTTAAATTTTTTTTGGTGTACAATTATTACACTTTAAAAATATTAATTTTTTAAAATTATCCTTTGACAGTACATTATTTTAGAAATATCAATTGTCATAATTGTATTTTTTGAGTTAAAGAATTTAAAAGAATGACAAAATAGAAAATTTATATTATTTTAATTCTTGATTTTTTAAAATGAATTAATATTTTGGAATAATAAAAAATGAAATAAGGAATTAATACGAAAGGAGTAAATATTTGTTTTTCGGATTGTGACAAACCCATTTCAGATCTTTCATTCTTTCCTAGCATTTTGCTTGTAATTTTTTTTTTATTTTTTATTTCTTTTAAGGAAACCCTCAGAAATATATATATATATATATATAGAATAGTAGCCATACAAACACAAAACTTGCAGCCTCACCTGAGAGCAGCTTTTGCCTCTCTGTGGGCTATTATAACATCCCTCCCAGGAACTTCAGTAATACATATAAAATCAAAAGCATTACAAAGCCGCAAAATGTCCTTAATAATAGTTTGCCGATCCCAAGCTTCGGATGTCCCTCATGATAGTTCATTGATGAGCACCTGTGAATCCATTAACAATTGAATAGCCTTGATTTTATGATCAACACACCATCTGATTGCATCAAAGCAGGCTTTAGCTTCTGCAGTTGCCACCGAAAAGCAAAGAAAACCGAGACATTATCCACCACCTGGTTGCCAAATGCATCCAGAGCTATCTAAGTTCCTCCTGCACGCAAAGTATCTTTTCTCCAAGCCCATCCGTAATAATATGATGAATATAGCAAATATGCAGTCCAAGGACATATTATGTGCTAGAAAAAGAGGTTGGGTGGTTGATATTTTCTTCATTAAGATGATGCCCCATGCCGTTCCCTCTGACCTCCGGTTCCCCTACACTAGTACCCTTCCCATAATATAAGGAAAGCAAGGATTGAATTATCTGCAGGGCATCCCTCGGGTCTGGTTGTGCATGCTGGAAAGTGACTTGGTTTCTTTGTAGCCAAATGACCCATAGCGCACACATGGATTGTAATATCGCATTATCTCCGGAGCATTACCAATCCATTCTGAAAACCACTCCTTGAACGACAATGAGGATCCAATGCTAAAATCCAACCCAAGAATAGACCCACGCCAAATCATTTGGGAAATTGGGCAAGGAAAAACAGAGATGTTCAACCGTTTCCTCTTGTAGTTTGCATCTCTCACAAATTACATCCATATGAAAGCCTCGTCTGCTCGAAAGTCCTTTAAATGAAAAGAGCCCACTTTGGTGGGAAAGATGAGTGCCACATTTTCCCCAAACTTCTGAGTCCACATTCATCATTCTTACTCCCAGTCTAAGTTGAGGGTTTATGAGCAAGAAAAGACGAAGTCTGTGCCCAAACACATTTATCAGATACAGTATGTTTTGATATATGGATGGCCAGTACATGACTCACTACCTCTGGAGGGAAAAAAGTCATAATTAGTGTGTCTCTCCATGTGTGAGCTTGAGGATCTAAGAAATGGGTAACCTTAAAATTTTGGAAAAAAACAACCTATTTGTCAGCTACACAAAGGATTGGGAACTGTTGGAATCCATTGATCCTTGAAAGGGTTAATTGAGTTTCCATCACCCACCACCCACATTAGTCCCTTTTTAATCAACTCCCTTCCCCACATTATACTCCGCCAACCCCACTAACACCGTGGGCCAATGTTAACTTCCAAGAAATTCTTATTAAGACAATATTTCACCAGGAACAACTTTGAGAAAAGGGGCTGCTTATCAACCAATAACCTCCAAGCATTTTTTACCCACAAAGCTTGGTTGAGATCCCTAAAACCCTACACACCAACAGATTTAGGTAAGCAAATGTGTCCCCAGCTCTTCCAGTACAAGCCTTCAAAATTACCATTCTGCAACAAAAATCTGCTCACTACAGGCCTAATTTGTTTGATAAAATAGGTTGGCACACGAAAGACAGAGAGGAGATATAAAGGGATAGCAAGAAGAGTATGCTTAACCAACACACATCAACCTGCAAAGGAAAGCATTGCAGATTTCCAGCCTTGTAATCTATTCTTAATTCTTTGTAGAGTAGAAGTAAACAGATTTCCTTTCCTCAAGGTCCTATCCATCATTGCTCCTAGGTAGATACCAGGTTTCTCTGTCATTTTAATATTCAAGAGACCCACTAGGAAGCTCTTATGTGATGGTAACATATTAGGACTCACAAACATCTCCGACTTTTTGAAATTAATTTGAAGCCCAGATTGATCACAAAAAGCTGAAAGGAACCAATTAAGCAACATATCTCTTCTTACTGAAATGGAAGAAATAAAAAAACAATCATCAGCAAATAATAGATGAGAAATAAATGGCGCTGGCTGACAGATGGAAATACCCTTACACACCCCTTCCGATGCCAAGTGTTCCATTCTGGAAGAAAAAGCTTGGGTGATAACGAGGAAAAGATAGGGCGAAAGAGGATCCCCTTGGAGGAGACAAGATGGTTTAAACCAATCAGAATGAAAATTATTCACCAAAATCGAGAATGAAACAGTTGATACACACTGCATAATAAAAGAGATCCACCTCTGACTGAACCCCATTGTTCTAAGTACTTGCTCCAAAAAATCCCATCTGACTTAATCATAGACTCTATAATTTCAAGGGTATACAACTATTTTTCCTCTTCTTCTTTTCCCGGATAAATTCAATTAATTCATGAGCTAATAAAATATTTATCTGAAATTGATCTACCTAGGACAAAGTGACCGGTGAAATATTTTATATATACATGTATTTGTGAATATTCATTTTACATTTGTACTTAAGGCCATAATATAAAGTAATTGTCCTTGTAGCCGTAATGAGTTGGAATGTAGGCCGAGTATATTATTTAGATCGATCTTAGGAGATTGTGGTAATGTGATGAATGGTTGAGATTTCTTTAAATGCAAATGAAAAGCTTTGAAAGGTAAGAACTGGTCTTTGCTTCTTATTATGTTAAAGAAGATGTTTTGGAAAATTGTACCTATATAAGTATATTTTGAAGTATAAAATGTCACATTACCTATATGTATATATGTGGAGTATTCATAATCATAGTTATTTATATGTTGCTATTGTTTAGGATTATTGAAATTCCTATTGGACCTTTGTATTCATCCCCTATTTCTAATCATTTTTTAGGTATGGAATGAATGGTAGCTCAAGTGGTAGCTCGAGACTTGAAGCCTATTAATTGTTAGCCATGGGGGCATTTTAAATGCAAGTGAAATGGCAATGTGTTGTAAAAAGGGTTAATCCATTTTATATATTTCGTTATTTTGTAATTGATGACTTAAAGCCTATGGACGTGGGCATGCACACGAGAGAGAACATTGTAATTTATTCCTTTCTAAATATCTTTGATGTTTATTATTTTTGAAATGGATTGATTTAAAGGGAAAAGGGTAATATTATCTGAGTAATAAAAGTTGGGGTGTTACATGATGAAAAGAAAAATATGATATTTATCTACAAATAAATAAAGCACGTAAAATAGCAGGATAGAAAGAAGCGGGGGTGGGAAATTATTACATCACCGAATAATTACATATCGAGATAAGGGAAGAGAGGAAAAAAATATTATAATAAAATAAAACCTCACAAATCTCTCAAATTAAAAGAAAAACAAAAACTTCATGTGCCTCGAAGACTACTGGAAATCGTTATGCTCATCATCAGAAGACTGCTTTGTTCTGTCTCAGAAGAAGTTGGCCAGCCGGCCAATTAATTAGCTGGCCTGCCAATTAGGCCTAGCAAAATCTGTTTTGTCACAATACCAAAACAGAACAAACAAGTGATATGTAGGTGGCTCAACTAACCACTTCTAGTTAGATTACAACAGGTTTATAATATGAAATTTGAAGCAAGAAAACTAAGTACAAAATAAAAAAAAAATGCAAGAAAATGAAAGAGTTTGAAAATTCACCTTCCAAGAAAAGGACGAACTTTTTGATTTCCAAACTCTCTTTTGATCACCCTCAAGTGTATGAAATGTGCTCTCAATCCTCAACTCAAAAACTTGGAATTTTAGCTATAATGGTGTTTTGGGATTGTTTAACAGAATGTATGGTGGAAAATGGTTAACTCACTGATTTTTCTCAAACTTGGCAAATATTACTCTTTCTTTGATCAAAGCTCTAGAATTTGATTACAATGAGTTTGTGGATGGTTTTGGTAATGAAATATGAGCTATAACAGTGTACAACTACAAAAATGAAAGTTTCAACCAACTCTTAATTCAAGCAAGACTTCTCTTTTTATCAATCTCTCTCCCCTCTCCAACAATTAGATGTTCTTGTATAGGCAATGCAAGTGGAGGAGAATGTGGAAGACAAGGTGGAGGACAAGATGCAAGACAATGGTTAATGGAAAATAAAGAGAAATGATTGATGCTTGCTTTAACCCTATCTTTTTTGAAGAGGCAAGTCCTTTATGCAATGGAGGTTGAATGTATATGCATTTCATGCATGAATGGATCAAAAAATAGAATAGTGGGATGTCCCACATGCATTAAATAAGAATTCTGCTGAAAATGCCATGTTTTTGGACAAATTAGTCGGTCGGCCAAAATATTGGCCTTGGCCTGACTATTTTGCACGAAATAGGATTTTTTGACAGAATTATCATCATTTCCTTTTATTTCTACATTTTTCTTTGCTCAATTATCATCAGAATTATCATCATTTCCTTTTATTTCATTTCCTTTTATGAAAATGCTTGGAACAAAGCGCGAAAAGAAAGTTTCGAAAGAGAATTTTGAACGGGTCTTAAACACTTGGCCAAAACAAACTTAGGGTTGGGAATAAAGCTCGAATTCTATTTTTCTTATTGAGGATGTTTTGAGAAACACATTCTTGTTTTCATCATTGGGTAGTCAAAAGAAAGCGTACAAGTCTTAGGGCCGATCTAAATGAGGTGTCTACAACCACGCACACCTAGTTGCCGTTGCAAACTTACACACAGCAGTGATATGTACGGAGTAATTTTTTATGTACTTGAACTGAAACCCGCATTTGATGGCATACTTACAAAGTATTGTTCGGAATTCATGTGCACCACACCCAAAAGATTGATCAACATGTGTAATACCGAATGCCCAACCAACAGACAAGAATGTCTTCGATTTATGAGGACAATATGATGACAACAAATCTGTTCGATCTTCCATATTGCACATCTGCCCATCCATGGTGTCACAAACCCTATCATCGGGGGAACCCGTCGCACCACATTCAACACCCGACCCATACCTCTGTGTTTGAATTAGCGCATCAATATGATCAAGACCAAATAACTTTACAAAGGACAACATGTTTTGAAAGTCGTCGTTACAATCAACCTTAAATTCATCATATCCAAGAATGGTGAACAAGAAATAAACCAATCTCGACTCCAAGCCACCAAAATTGTCACAAACACCTTCAACCAACTGTGCAAATGTGAATGTTTGATGAAGACGAAACACGGCATTTGTCTGTCTAAACGTACATAATAGTAGCACTGCAAACTCCATACCTGTCAATAAATAATAATAATAAAAAAGACCATTACATGTACAGATTTATGGACATATGAATGTGCATGGTCAGCCTATGTGGAATCAATCGATGGAATGTCACTTATTCATTACACAGTTGCAACATCACATATATCGCAATGTTGAATTTCCACGAAATTAACACAATGACAAACATAAATGCCAATATATCACCATATTAATTCTAGACCCAATTGAATTTCCACATATCTATGTATCTCTGTGTACACATTTAATGAAATATTATTTTAATGACAATTTTACCCTGAAGTAAAATGACCATAATAGACATCAAAACACACCATTAACATTGAATCAAAGTTTTTTTTGTACATATTTGTGGGGATATATTTTCTGAGTACCAACACGTGGCAAGGTGACGCCGACGTGTCAGCCGAGGTGCCACGTGTCTTGGTCGTTGTGCCGAGGTCATCTCGGCTAGGCCGAGGTAACCGTAATTTCTCTATTGTTTCTTACTTCCTCCATTGTTGTTCACTTATTCTATTGACCATTGTTTGCTACACACTCTATAGTCATCTATTGCTTGCAAAGCAATACTATCATATTACTTTACTGTCTAAGTTTATACTCCGTTGATTGTATCATTTTGTCATTAGAATCCACCATAATTCTTGATTTTTGTGATGTACAGAGTTACAAATCAATGGAAATTCAAATTCAAATAACAATATGCCTGGTTACAACAAAAGTAGTAATGAAAATATAAGTTTTTTTGTGCAAATTTTTTTTTCACGATTTTAATTCGGTAAACCAGTGCCAAAACATGTTACTTTTTGTGGATATCAATTGCCGAAATTATTAATTCTATTCGAAAATCAAGTTCCGAATTTGGATATCGAAACTCAACTTTCAAATTTAAGAATTTATTTTGGAAACCAATTTCTGAATTATTTTTACATGTTTCGAAAATTAAAAATCGAATAAATCTTTTTCATTCACATAACCAATACCGAATAAGCAAAATAAAATTGCTTCTAGAAAAAAATGAGAGTTTATGAAAAATAAGATATAGATACAGTTGTACGTCTTCAATGAAGTTTGATACAAAACGATATTGTTTCAAGCAGTGGCGAAGCCAGGAATTTAATATAGGGGGCGTACTTATTAATTATAATCTCAAAATTTTTTTCCTCAATCAATAACAATAACATAATAATAATGTTTCGAGTTAATATTAAACATTAAAAATTAATATTCATTACAAAAAGTTTTTTAATTTTAAACTTTTACAATTAACTCCGACGAGTTTTCATCTTTTGAAATCTTTCCATGATAGTATCATTGTTAATACCATCAAAAATATCTCTCTCAATGTAGACAACCAAGTTATCATTTATTCATTCATCACCCATTCGGTTCCGCAACCGATTATTCACAATATTCATAGTTGAAAATACCCACTTAACAGTAGCAGTTGCAACAGGTAAAATTAATGCTAAAGTCAACAGCAAATACACCAATGGATATACTTTGTCTCTTCCAATCTCCACCATTTTCCTAGCAAGATCGGCAATTCTATTCAACCTTGAGAACTCACTACTGGATAACATATCGATAATATATATATATATCAATTTAATCATTAAGTACCATGAGCTCCACTGAAGAAAATTCTTTAGGATAAAATTCGGCAAGATGAATTAACTTGTTCTTGTCAAAACTAGAGAAAGAGTTAAATGGATTCAAGTGTGTCACACAAAGTAACAACTCAGTGTTTGACTCAGTGAAACGAACATTAGTTTTTGAATTTGCATATCCAAAACAGTGTAGAATAATTCAACGCGATAGTGATGTAAGCCTGTAATTTTTTGAGTATTGCGCCTTTTTCTCCCTCGAGCTACAAATATATCATTTATTTGGCAAACATCAATTTCATGCTTTTATGTATATTAATATTAATAAATTTAAAATAAGAGCAAAATAAAAAAATTCATGTTATTTTAATTTTTTATTTTTTAAAAAATAATTAAATATTTTAAGATAATAAAAAAATAAAATAAGAAATTAATATTTTAAAATGGAAAGGAATAAAATTTATAATCTTCATAATTAACAACAGATCCATCGAGGGTACATATACCACTATATAGGTTTATTTTAGAAAATTAATTAAAAGTTAATTT